ACAAGGCCAGCTCAGTCCATCAAAGTCAATCGGAGGGTTCATCGTATACGGGCTTGCCGGGCGGCTCACGGTTGCAGGTGGGGTCAACGGAGCACCTTCGTCTCTGGGATCACGGGGAGGGTCACTCAAAGTCGGCCTAGACGGTGATTTCTTTAGCAGGTGGGTAAGAGGACATCAGTCAGAGCAGAGACCCAGCATACCTGACAGCCACTGGGCTTCGAATGGCACCGGTCGAGCTGATATTGGCGTCCTCAGTCGAGTGATGGACTTGGGTTGCGGGGAGGTCGAACTCGGCGGGCCGGCGAGGATCGAAAGACGAACGAATGGAAGAATTGAGATTGTCCCGTTCGCGAGCATCGCGCACATTCGTCGAGAGGTGCAGAGGAGAGCCGCCATTCAGCAGGTGAGACGGGATGGCGGATTTGGGTTTGGGGCCCGGGGGAGAGGATCCAGAGCCCATGATGTGATCGTCAAGGAAAGGAGGGGGGAGGGGAGGAGGGGGAGAACGGGGAGTTGTAGATGAAGCAGAACAGAGAGATAGAACAGAAATGTAGACGTGTGCTGGGGTCTTCGAGCAACAGTCTAGCAAAGCATTAAGCAATCAGGAATTGTCGTCCCCAAATTGTTGTAGGTCGAGTCATCCATCACCAGTTTTTTTTCTTTCAAACGGCCACGGCCGGCGGGGGCGCTAGGATTGCCTATTCGGACCTTAGCTCGCCATTGCTCCTCTGCTGATCTGACTTCATCACTCAAAACAGCGGAAAGAGTCACCGCCTTTGGTTTTGCACCAATAAGAACCGATGCACGTGCTGGCCGCGGGGTTATTTGCTGGCAAATAGTGGAAGCTGCCACCGATAAAACTGCAGTGTGCTTGACATGCATATGCTGGTGCAGGCTTCAAGGGTTAAATCGTACCTAGGTAACCACTAAGTAGGTACTCCGTACCTGGTCTACCTATTAATTGCCTGAGGCTCACCTATTGATTGGCGATTAAAGCTCCAGCTTACTACCTAACAAAGTTACACTACAGAGTACTAGGTAATAATAATGAGGAGCTTGATAATTGGGAACCGACTATCAGGAAGCACTGATAAGAGATAACGACGTAGAAGAGTTGTTTAGGCAGACTTTAGAGAAATAATGTAAACTTCTATTAATTCAATTTACTTTTATGAACTTCAAGTAGATATATTTTTTGTAAAGTTGAAGAAAAAATCTCATACAATAGTACTGGAAATGATAGGTATAAGCTTAATCATTACTCCTTCGGATACAACTGTCAATGGACGATACAGTATGGGTTGTATGTAGCAGGACATTTTGGACTCTGGGTAGTGTATAATATTGATCATGGCTCCAGCTCTTCGGCAGGGACATCCTCCAAATCCTTGCCGACGATGGCATCCGCAACCTTCCACACCTGCAACAGGTTGTCTTCTGCGGCAGAGCAAAGAACCCAGGGATCATTGAGGTTCCAGTTGAAATCAGAGATCCTATTAGTATGACCACCATGCATGAAAAGGCTATTAATGGATTAGTATCACGGTGTAGTTATTCAGGGAATAGCGATTACTTACAGCTCTGGTGGGCCATCTTGGGCATCTTCTGGTGTTTGCTCTTCGCCTGCGCGGCTAAGATCCCAGAACATGATTTTCCGGTCATAGCTGGCACTAGCCAGCACAGCCTCTTCAAAGGGGTGCCATGAGATAGAGGTCACCGAGTCGGTGTGACATTCGAGGGTGTGCAGCCTCGTCTTCAGGTTTCGCAGATCCCACAAGCCAATGGATTTGTCTGCAGAGCCGGTGGCGAGAACCGTTTCGGCAGCCGGGTTAAAGGCAACGGCATTGATGGCGTCGCGGTGCTGGCCTTCAGCAGAGGCGGCAGCGCGAGTTGTACCCGCCTCACGGACATCAAGAATCTGGAGTGTGATATCATCGGAGACGGTGCCGATAAGAGAAGAGTGAAGTGGGTGGTACTGAACGTCATTCACAATGGAAGAATGATGGGTATATGTGCGAGTAGGCTTGAGAGCCTTGTTTCCTTTGGTGTAAGTGGTCAAGTCCCTGGAATAGACCATTGATAAGCATTGAATATCGCAGCAAATTTGAAATGGAAAATTGAAGACTAATGTGACCTACCAAAGGCGAACAGTCTTATCTTCACTGCCAGTAACGAGGTGGCCAGCGCTATGGGGGCTCCAGCTCAAACCGAAGCCTTCGCGTGTATGTCCCAGGAGCTCCATCTGGGGATTGACTGTGCCTGTCGGCAGGCTAGGGTGTTTTGAACGGTCCCAGATCATAACTCGACCATCCGTACACATAGTCGCAATGATATTGGGGTTCTGAGGCTGGTAGCGAGCCTTATTCACCTCCCCTTTATGATCGATCTTCTGGACAATGTTGAACTTGATCTCCATGGGCGCTTTCTTTGAGCTACCGCCATACCCCCCAATTTCACCCCGGTCCTCATCGTAATCGTCTGGGTTAGGGGCGGTCGGGTTCGGAAGCTGAACGTGCGCGATCTGCAGGTAGTTTTGTGCATCGCTTGAGGTGTGTGTCCCAATCAGTAGGCGATGAGTCGAATACGGTTTGTCGGGAACCCTAGGCGAAGGTAAGCTCCCTCCACAGATCACAATTCTGGGCATGTAGGACTCACTCCTGCTTATCAGGAAGCCATTGCGTTGTCAGAGTCGGCCATTCTAAAGCTGTGCTAAGAATCATGTCATAGAGAAATGGCGCATTCTTCTTCCATGTCTTGTATTCTGGACGAAAGTAAGCTTCATATACCATGGATGTAAGACGCTTAGATAGGAGGAGAAGGCACCTTCGTTAATAATCTTCTCCTGGGTGCGTTCCTCTTCTTGTTCTTCCTGCTCCTCAATGAATCCTGTAGTGGCCGAGGTCAGATGGGCTCCGCCGAGAAACACGATAGCTTGCGTACCATCATCATAATTCTCCATGGCGGCGGGTGAGAATTCAACTAATCTTTTTTGAGAGAGAACCCTTGTATAGGGTGAGTGGGTTAGGGGAGGGGGAAGGCAGGTTTTTGGAGCGTTTGTTCCCGAGGAGACAGCGGACGAGAGCTCTTTCTGAAGTCAAAAACGCGACTCGCTCACCTCACCAGAAGCGCGTTAATGGCTCTTTTGGAGCTAGTCTTATTACGGAAAAGTCACCTAATGTTATTGCCTCAGGTATCAAGGCATCAAGGCACCAAGGCATCGACTCCTCGGAAGAGAAGATTCGCCGCCCCCAGAATCGAGTTCGTGGCTGTCACTGTTGGATGATTCGAGTCACTCACAGGTCCGCACTTGGCGATTTCGTCGACGTTTGCTTCTTTTCTTGTTTTAGCAAGTTACTTTTGTTATACCTGGGTGTGATTAGTCCGTGGACTAGGCACTGTCAGTTCTTCTCTCAGGATAACCGTTCTCCGTATATAATACAGGCCCTCGGCGCACCTCCAAGCTGACTTGCCTGAAGTTTCGGAAACCGTGACGACATCGACGACGGCCAAGCGATCATCCGATTGCCCATCTTATTTTGCAAGCTTATTGAAGCCCCTTTTTTTCATTTCAATTCTACATATTCATCATGGGTGTTCCGAAATTCTTCCGCTGGCTCAGCGAGCGGTACCCCGCGATATCTTTGCTCATCGCGGAGAACCGGATACCAGAGTTCGACTGTCTATACCTCGACATGAATGGCATCATCCACAACTGCACGCATAAGGATAGCGACTCTCCCACGTTTCGCATGACCGAAGATCAAATGTTCATCGCCATCTTCAACTATATCGAACACTTGTATGGCAAAATCAAGCCTAAACAGCTGTTCTTCATGGCAGTGGATGGTGTTGCCCCACGCGCCAAGATGAACCAGCAACGTTCGCGAAGATTCAGGACAGCTCTGGATGCAGAAATGGCAAAGGAAAAGGCTATCAGCCAGGGGATTGAGATGCCGAAAGAGGATGCGTTCGACAGCAATTGCATTACCCCTGGCACAGAGTTTATGGCCAGGTTGACGCAACAACTCAAGTATTTCATCAGCAAGAAGATTTCAGAAGACAAAGACTGGCAGGGTGTGGATATCGTTCTTTCAGGCCATGAGGTCCCAGGAGAGGGTGAACACAAGATCATGGAGTATATTCGACATTCCAAGGCGCAGCCTAATTACGATCCAAACATTCGACATTGTCTCTATGGCCTTGACGCCGATTTGATTATGCTTGGGCTTCTCAGTCATGATCCTCATTTCTGCCTTCTTCGTGAAGAAGTGACGTTCGGCCGACAAGTATCCAAGAAGCCTAAGGAGCTTGAGCATCAAAACTTCTATCTCTTGCATCTATCCATGGTCCGGGAGTACTTGGAGCTGGAATTTCAGGAGCTCAAAGAGGATAGCGCTTTGGGCTTCGCATTTGATATGGAACGTGTGATTGATGATTTCATTCTCATGGCTTTCTTCGTTGGAAATGATTTCTTGCCAAATCTACCAAACCTCCATATCAATGAGGGAGCCTTGCATCTCATGTTTAAGATTTACAAAGAAGCTCTTTCGAAAATGGGAGGTTACATCAACGAGCAGGGAACCATTAACCTGCAACGTCTCGGAATACTCATTGAGGCTCTAAGTGACGTGGAATATCGTTTCTTCGAGGTCGAGTATTCAGACGCTGAATGGATTCGAGCTAAGAGAAACGGCGGAGCAGAGAATGGGTCCCAGGAGAAGCCCAAGGGGCTCACCATCACTCCCGAACAAAAGGATATCCTCAAAAGCGTCAAGAAATATGTTCTTAACCGACCCGAAAAGGCGGCTGAGCCCAAGCATCTTGACCTTCCACCCACATTACCAGCTCGTGATCGCAAATTCGTGGAACAACTTGCGGACGATCTCCGGCTACCGTGGACCACTGTTTCAGATGAAAATGCCGAGCGGTTCATCAGGCTTCAGTTGCCAGCTCAAGATGATGAAGACGATGATGGCGATGACGAAGAGGCTTCTATGGCTATTCGTCGTGTCATTAGACGGTATGAAAATGCCAAAGTTCAAGAGATATCTGCCGAGGAAGCAAAGGAAGCGGCAGAAAAAAAATATGAGAGAAAATTCCAAGAATGGAAGACCAGATACTACGAATCGAAATTTGGATGGGGGAATGATAACCAGGAAGAAATGAAGAAACTTACCGAAAATTACGTCCAAGGTCTGCAATGGGTCCTTTTCTACTATTATAGAGGGATTGCATCTTGGCCCTGGTTTTTCAAGTATCATTATGCTCCGATGATCTCTGGTCAGTGCTCCAAAGAAAAAAAAAAAAAAAAAAGCTCGCTCTTCCTCTTGTTGAAATACTGACATTGTCTATAGATGTGAACCTGGGTCTTGGGGCGGATATGAACTTTCAGCTTGGACAACCTTTTAGGCCGTATGATCAGCTTATGGGTGTCCTACCTGACCGAAGCAAGCAGATTGTGCCGCCCGCGTATCGTGATCTGATGACATCTCCCGACTCTCCTATCATTGATTTTTACCCCCGCGATTTTGAGCTTGACATGAATGGGAAGAAAATGGAATGGGAAGCAGTGGTGAAGATTCCATTTATCGATGAGAAGCGGCTTCTTAGCGCGATTGCAACCAAGGAGCATCTTCTCACCCCGGAAGAGAAAGCAAGAAATGACTTTGGGGTGTCGCTCAAATTCACGTATTCCCCAGAAATGGAATATATCTATCCTTCTTCCATGCCTGGAGTCTTCCCCGACATTCCCAAATGCCACTGCATTGAGAATGTCTTTGACTTGCCCACCATGGACGGGCTGGAGCCATACGTTGGCTTGATGGATGGTGTACAGCTTGGTGCATCAGCCCTTGCTGGCTTCCCTAGCCTTCGGACTCTTCCTCATGTAGGACAGCTCTCCTTCCATGGCGTTTGTGTTTTCCAACAAGAAAGTCGCAACGAAAGCATGGTCGTCACCCTGCTAGATCCCGCTAGTCGGTCAAGTACCGAGTTGGCAAAGCAGAAACTTGGAAAACGAGTGTATGTGGGATATCCATTTTTGCAAGAAGCTCTTGTGGTCCGTGTCTCGGATGAGCTTTTTGACTACATTCTTCCTGATGAGCAGCAACATCCCGTCTCGATTCCCCACACTCCCCAGCAGATCGAGCAATTCAGAAAGAAAGCCGACAAGATCGAAGGATTCTACAGCAGAAGACTTGGCACAGTCATTGGCCCTGTCGAAGCCATGGTTCATGTGCAGCAACTTAAAGGACTGATCAAGACTGATGAAGGTCATACTGTCAAGGATTTCGTCGAGATTCCAGGCCAAGAGACTGATTACGCTCTTCAACTGGTTGTTGATGAAGTCATCAATCCGGATCAGCGCTTCATTGAAAGGGAAGCTCTCCCGATTGAACAGGAATTCCCAGAGAACTCTAGAGCCTTCTTCCTGGGTGAGTTCAACTACGGAAGACCTGTGCATATTACGGGACATGAAGGCGGTAAAGTGGACGGGTTGATCGCCTCGGTCAAAGGACGAGACCCTGAATTTGGGAGAGAGCGGGCCCGAGAAGCCGAGAGGCTTTTCCCTTATATGCCCTCGTATGCGATTGCGCGTAACTTGCGCCTCAATCCGCTCGTCCTCGCCAAAATCACTTCTTCCTTCAGCGTTGATATCGAGGGACAGCGTGTTAATCTTGGGCTCAATTTGAAATTTGAGGCGAAAAAGCAGAAAGTCCTTGGTTACTCTCGCCGTGGAGAATCTGGTTGGGAATTCAGCCAGAAAGCAGTCAGTCTGATCGAGCAGTATATGATCAAATTCCCAGAGTTCATAGCAGGGATCCAGCGGAATCCTCAAGGCGACCGCTATCGCCCCACCGACTTTTATTCTGAAGATATCGCCGCCCTCAAGATAAAGGAAATCCGGGACTGGCTCAAGTCGATTGAAGCAAAGAGCTTTGAGCGTGTTCCGCTTGACGCTGAACAGCTTGACTCCGATCTCGTCAAATTGATCGAACAAGATGCCGATCTACTTGTCCAGTCTCAGCCCCCGATGCAAGCCAAGAAGATCAAGGGGGTGCCCCGAAGCGCTCTTCTCAAGCCTGCTGATGTTGAGCAGCGGTTGGGCAACCAGCACTTCTCACTTGGCGATCGTGTGGTCTACGCCCAAGACTCCGGCAAGGTTCCCATCGCCACCCGGGGCACGGTGGTAGGTCTTACACGGACTCCACTGATGCTCCTGCTGGATGTCGTCTTTGATGTCTCGTTCATGAGCGGCACCACTCTGGGTGATCGTTGTTCCCCGTTCAGAGGACAAACTGTCCCAGCTTCATCTGTGTTGAACATCACGCACCGTCAGTTGATTGCCAGTACCCGGGCTGCTGCAACTCAGCAACCGCAAAGCCAACATCTACCATTGACTGTTCAGGGGTACGGTGCCCCAGCTGGAGCCGGAGGTATCGGCCAGCTGAAGAACGCCCCCGTCCCTCCACCGCTGAGGGGCTCTTTCCGTGGTGCTGTGTCAGGGGACCAGCGCAAGAGCCGAGGCAACGGGCGTGGCAATGGACAGGTCAACCTGCCGTTCCGACCGCAGCAAGCCAACGGAAGCAGTCAACAGCCAAATACTAGCACTGCTCGCGGCGGGCGAGGCCGGGGTACTGCCAACGGCGGACGTGGCGGACGTGGTGGCCCCAACTACACCCGCGGCGGATATATTGCTGTCGAAAACAGTGACCCTCAGGACGGCGTGATCCAGAACAACCCGAACTTCAAGCCACGGATCTATACGGCTGTTCCACCTCCCCAAGGGCTGGGTGGTCGTGGAGGACGCGGTTCTCGCGGTTCTCGTGGCCGGGGTACCCACCGCGGTCGAGGAGCCGCCAGTGCCAGTGCCACTGCCTCTGCCCCTGCTCCTACAGAAGGCTAGTTGAAATTCGTCAAGGAGGAGATGGGGTTGTACTTATATCCGTTTACGGGCGTGGGATATGGGTCTGGTTACGGTTTCACTGATGTATACGCGGCCATGTGTTTCTTTTACGGTCGCTTGTCGATAGCTCAATACCTAAGCATCTATATCGATCTCAACATAGTGAAATGATACCAGTTCAGAATCAAGTTTACTCCTGAGAAAAGAGAAAACTTAGACCAGGAATACGACAGGAATAGTAGTACCAAGATCAAAATGGGTCATTATTGCCCTCACTAACTGAGAGAGAATCGACTATGTGCTCATTCCAGTCAACTGAATAAGTAACTATCAATCAAATAAGGTGCCCAAGACCTGGTCAGTGACGGGCCACTTCCAATCACGTCAAGTAGTCCAGCTCCTAGTTAGTTAATAGATACCGAGTCTTTTACGAAAGAGAAGCGTGACGTTCGCATCCGGGAAGATAGCTTCGCCCATGTAGACGTTATCAGGACGGTCTTCGCGATGGACCTCGTACCTGAAGTCGTATTCATAGATGATGCGGCCCAGAATCGCTTTCATGACGTACGCCGCGAAGTACCGGCCGGGGCAGGCATGCTGACCGATCCCAAAATGCAGGTTCGTTGGATTGACGTTCACAAGGCTGTTCCAGGGGCTCGGAGTGGTGAAACACCAGCGAAAACAGTTGAACGAGTCCGGGTGCGTGATGACTCCGGGGTCTCTGGAGATCGGCCCGGATGGGAAGCAAATCCGAGTACCCTTTGGAAGGACGACGCCATCGTACAAGACAATTGGTTCCTTGAGGATACGGTGGAAGGTCACTGGGAAGACAAGAAATAAGAATGTTAGGAAAAAAAAATCACAGCTCTGCTTGAGGGTTGTTTGGTACTTACACTCCATAGGAGGGCTAAGTCGGATAGACTCCTTGAGAAAACTGTCCAGGCGACGCTGAGAGACGATAGTGCCCTCTGTGATATCCTTCCAGCTGTTACGTCCCAACGAAGCACGAATCTCCCATCGCATAGGTGGCAGGAATTCCGGTAGCACGACCAGGTCGAGCAGGGCTTGGGTGATCGCAGAGCTGGTCGTCCACACAGTCGCCATGCCGACGATTGCCATAAAGTCGTGGGCGGTACGGGCCGCGTCAGTGTTCAGTTCGTAGTCCTCTGCGAAATCCATCAAATATTGCAGGAAGTCATCCGGTCGAGCGTACTGGGGGTCCCCAGACCTTTCATCAGCGCGGCGCTCATGAATCATAGGCACCAGGAGAGTATCGCGGATAAAGGCCAGCTGGTTACGGAGCCGACGGGTGCAAGGGAGTATGTTGGCAACGAGGGGCCGCAGGAACTCAGGAAAGAGACTGAGCACTTTGACTGCCTTGATGACGTTCTGGGCGTAGCTTGAGGCAGTGTCAATCCAGATCTCGTTCCGACAGGTATCATCCCCGATCATCACGCGAGAAGTCGCCCGGGTCACAATGCGTGTGATCACATCCATCGGCTTGACACGTACCCAACCGCCTATTTCTGCTGCTGTGTCAGTAATCATAAGGTAGGTATTGTCTCTTGCTTGGTGGTCTGATTCCATGTGAACTGACCGTCACTCGATGGGAACTCGACCTGAAAGGCATAATCCAACTCATCCATGAAGCGGGGGAAAAGTCTCCCTATCAACAGTCAGTACAAAGCAGAGCATCAAGGTCAGATACTAGAAAGTTACTTACCTAGGGCAGGATTCAGGCGTTTCTTAACCGTTTCTGCGGCCACGACGTGATTGGTCATGAAGACCATGTAGCTCGTGAGGATTTTCTATTTCGATTCATCAGTTCACCACCACCTTATTCCTTCTTGAAACCCAAGGAACATACCTCGAAAGAAGGACTTCTGGCGTCAAGCATATCCGCAGGCAAGTTTTTGAAGTCATCTACGTACTTCAGAGGCAGTACAATGAGATCTCCACCCCATCTCAGGAGACGAAAGGCGGAGTTCTTATTCTAGGTAGAGTGAGCAGATGTATCCCAGGTAGGTCACCTTCATCTCCAGGAGTGAGCTTTTACCTTTCGATACCCATAGTGGATAAGATAGGGCGCTCTGAAGAGATACAGCACGCGGTTGATCACATCGGGGAGGTAGTTAGAAGACCGAATCACTGGGATTTCCAAACGATTTCTAGAAGAAGGCCAAAAATTCCAATGAAGAAAGAGGAAAATGACCCCAACGAGTAACCAAAAGAGCACCGGACAGTCCGTGACAGCAAGGAGATCCTCCAGCTGCTCTTTAGATAGCATGGTGGGCTATCGAAAGCTCGCCTAGGAGCGACGACCGGGTTGACTTGGGATGCTCAGTGCTTTTGGTGCTTAGGATAGAGAAGAGGAAGAGGAGGGTGAAGAGAAAGAGATTGAGGAGAAGAAAGAAAGAAAAATTCTGCAATAAATATGTGTGATTCTCCATGAAGCTGTGCAGTCGATTGAGTTATGACTTTGTAGAGAAAAATATAGATATTCAACCACAAGGTGAATGATTGCCGTGAATAAATAAGACGAGAGTATATGAGACGGCTATGTTTCAAGCTGCCTAATGTCTGAATGCACATTTCATTAGTTAGACCTTTATGGGACTCCATAAAAACTTTTTGAACTTTTGCCTTTCCAGGTATATTGCAGTATAAAGAGAAAACAAAGAGACGCCGGGCGCAAATGCAACAGAAAGTAAGTCGCAATAGAATACAAAAAGAAAAGAAAATACAGCGTTACTCCAAACCCATCCACTCGTCTTCATTTGCCTCGTCTGCAGCGTCGGAAACGACCTCGTCAGTTGCGTTCTGGAGAGCAAGGTTGATTCCGGGCTCTTGTGCCGCTGCACCATTGATTCCCTTGCTAGGCATGATTGGCTTCGACAGGAGGTATTGCAGGGTATAACGATTTTCATCGGTGAGCTTCTTCAGGTTGGCATGGATGTCATCGATGGCACGCTGAACGGCACGGAGTTCTGGTGCCAAAGTGCCCGAATTGTCCTTGAAGTACCGACCATGAGCACTCAGAAGAGACTCGATCCATAGCAGGTTGAATTCCAAGTGGGGGGTCTCATCGGCTGCATGGGCAACAAACCGCAGGAAGCGAGGAAGATAAACGGTGGGAACCGATCGGACCACGTGAGGAATATCCCCTGCAGGGATAGCCTCGTACACGACACGGATCAGTCTGGCTTCGTTTAACCGGAAGGCCATGATGAGGGCCTTAAGGTATGATGCATCATCATCATCGGCAGTGCCTGACGTAGATGCCTTCTTGGCGGCCTCCAGGGTAGCGAGGATATTCGATGTAGTGATGTCGATATCGAGGTCAAATGGATCGAAGACAATCTCCGTATCCAAGCTATAGACCAGCAATCCCTCCGTGGAAGCGGCGCAGAATGCACGGCCCGTGGGAGAGAAGGCGACCGAAGTGACGCGGACCTCAGGCCGAGTGGTACGGGCGCCTGCATCACCGCGCTTGGCACCGGGGAGGGTACGGTCAATCCGATCCTCAATGTCGGAAGCTTCACCGGTTTCGTCAATCATTCCGCGAGGGCCGGCTTCCGTCATGTCTTTGCTGTTCAAGACCTCCTGGGTGCCGTCGAGCGAAGTATTGACAGACACGGTATACTTCTTGACCAATGAGCCGCTCCCGACATCATACAGGCAAATGAACTTGCTGTTACCACCGGCAAGCAGGCAGCTCCCATCAGCGCTGTATGTGATGCGATTGAAGGATTTGGTGCCTGCCGCATTGGCGGCGGTACGACGATCAGAGATCTTGCGCCCTCCCGAAACGTCACGGCGTCCATCGATGTTTGCCTCCTGGACAGCGTCGGAAACAGACCAGAAGGACAGTTGACCGTCCAGTGTGGAGGCAGCAATCTGTTTTCCATCTGGCCGGAAGGCTACACTGAGAACATCGGATAGTAACTGCAGCGGCTCACTCGTCTGAGACCGTCCAAAGATGCTCCAAATTCTCACCGTACGATCCCAGCTTCCGCTCACCAGGTGGTCCCCGTCAGAAGCGAATGCAAGTGATGAGACCGGGCCTTCGTGGCCTGTCAAGAGGTCAAGCAATTGACCAGTTTGAACAGACCAGACATGGATGTCGAACGAGTCCGGAGACCCGGCACAAACCACCTCGCCGCTAGGGTCCACTGCAAGGGATGAGAATGATAGGCGAGACGGCGCGGTAAATGTACGGAAGTTTCGATAGCGGATCAGATCCCAAGCTCTCACAGACCCGTCCAGGGAGGCAGTAAACAGGACGTTTCCCTTCTTTGAGAATTCACACGCAGTGACACCGCTTGTATGCTCAGTAAAAGTCACAATGCAAAAGCCGGATTTGACATCCCAGACTTTGACTTTGCCATCATCTGAAGTAGTAATAATCTTCTGGCCATCTGGTGAGTAGACCAGTGAATTCAGCGAGTCAAGGTGGCCCTGTTGCTTTAATATATACGATTCCGACTGCCACTCCCAGACGAGCAGCTGGCCGTGTTTCGACGACCCAAAAGCCAGCCATTCCCCGGAAGTGTTAATGGTCACGAAGTCGATGTTGCTCTGAGACATGCTGCAGGCCTGTCAGCCTCGCTCAATTGAAAAAGGATCTAAGGTTGTGGGGGTACAATACCTAAGAAGATGGATCATGTTGAAATCCGGAAGATCGTATAAGCCAAACAGTCCGTTGGAGAAACCGACAACTAGGAGGTTTGTTTTCGCGTGGAAAGCAGCACAGTTGACTCGGGCATCATTCTGCATGAAGAAGTCCTTCTTTACAATTCTCCACCGGGCATCTGCGATCTCCTCCATAGTGTCCGGGTCGGTTTTGGCAACGTACTCCCACCTAAATAGCGCCCCATCCTGGCTAATGGTGTAAATCTAGAGAGTGGCATTAGGATACACGCGTTGTGCATTTAGACGGCGAAAGACTTGGGGGTACCTACCGATTCTTGATCTGCCGAGAAAAACGCTGCCTTCACGCCTTGTCTGTGGCCTGCGAGCGTCGTCGGTTCAAATCCTTCTTCCGGGTCCACGCTCCATACCCTTGCCGTCAAGTCCTTGGAGGAGGTGAGGATGAAGCGCGAGTCGCTAGACCACTCGATATTCTGAATGACGTCGAAATGCGCCGCGAGATCGCGGTGGAGCACAAACGGCGCGAATTCCACCTCACCATTGCTATCGGTTCCGGGGACCGACGGCGTCTGCCATATCTGTAGCCGGCGTCCGACGCCCACGGCAAAATGGCGGCCTGACGGAGAGAACTTCAGGGCAGTAACAGGCGATTTGAAGGAAAAATGATAGATGGCCAGTCTGCGGTGGAAGATCGAAAGAATAGCGCGGCCATTCTGGTCAACGGTGAGCAACAGATTGCCTTTGGGCGACAGATCTAGCCGGTCGATATTTGTTCGGTGGGCGAACGGCAGCGTATAGGTTGTGTTTCTAAGCCCCAAATCAGCATCCCTGTCCCAATGCTGGTCGCGGGGACACAAGACACCTACTGGACCAGGTCAAATACGGTCACCCGGTTGCCGACAGGAGACAACAAGCTGTTGCCATCGGGGGTGAAGAGCAGATTCCCTTTGCGGTAGACCGTCCCCAGCAGGTTCGAGAACTGGCGATGGAGCGATTCCAGTCAGCACAAGCCCACACAAAGCACATCACAGCCTCCCGACGCACCTTAAAATCGGTCTTCATCGTCGCTGGAGCTGCAGAATCCACCAGCAAGCGCCGTGCCACGAAAATTTCCTGTTCATAGAACGAAATAAAATCGTCCCGCGATAAGAAGATAATCCGAGGCCGAGCTCTGTGAGAGGGTGACTAACCCCATCGGGACTAGGGCGGTCCGGGGCCTGTTGATTCGCTTGTTCTCCACCGGCGTTCAGGGGCAGCCAAAAGAGGGCCCGGCAGAGGAAGCAGCAGCTCTGGCTTCAGTCTTCAGTCTTCAGCCTTCAGTCTTCAGTGCTGCACTTCTCCTGCTGTTGTTGTTGTCTCCGTCTGCCACCTACTCTCGGTCCGCGTCTTTCTTTTGCCTGCCATCCTAGCGATCTCGGGCCTCTCACGCCTTCGTTTCGTTCGTTGAATTCCAGGTGTCCTTGACAGATACCCCCTTGCCCATCATGGCCCCTGCCACGTCCGAGACTGCCTCCCCCATTGGCATTGCCAACGTAAGGAGCTCTTGCTGTTATGTCGCTGTTGAATGGAGTGGTGTTTGCTGACAGTCGTCTTGATTCTAGTTGCCCAACCAGCGGTGCGTAACGACGGCGAAAGCTTTCTATAGTCTGTCCCTCCAGGAGGTTCTAATATGAGATACGATGCAGTCACAAAATCGTTGCCAAGCGGGGCGCGGCTTTTACGATTATGGTGAGTATTTCCATCGTGGAAGAGAGAGACGAGAAAAATCACATGGCTGACGGTCGCAGGTTGCTGGCGAGTCCGGTTTGGGAAAGACTACCTTCATCAACACCCTTTTCTCGACCACCATCAAAAACTACGCCGATCACAAGCGCCGCCACCAGAAGCAGGTGGACCGCACCGTCGAAATTGAGATCACCAAGGCCGAGCTGGAGGAGAAGTTTTTCAAAGGTGCCTACTTGCTGCCATAACGCTTGTTTCCTGCGCACATAACACTAATGCGAAAGTTGTCCTGAATAGTCCGCCTAACCGTCATCGATACTCCCGGCTTTGGAGATTACGTCAACAACCGCGACTCCTGGCAGCCGATCATTGAGTTCCTGGACGACCAGCATGAGTCCTACATGTTGCAGGAGCAGCAGCCTCGCCGGACGGAGAAGATCGACATGCGTGTTCACGCCTGTCTCTACTTCATCAGACCCACCGGACACACCCTGAAGCCTCTCGATATTGAGGTCATGAAGCGTCTCAGTTCCCGTGTCAACCTGATCCCCGTCGTCGCAAAGGCAGATACCCTCAGCCCGGCTGATTTGGCCCGTTTCAAGCAGAAAGTGAGAGAGCCATTCATTACATGGTATTGCTGCGATGATGTACTTATTCTTTCTCGATTAGGTTCGTGCCGTAATTGAAGCCCAGGGCATCAAGATCTACACTCCGCCAGTGGAGGAGGACGACGAACATGCCGCCGCACATGCCCGCAGCTTGATGGCCGCCATGCCCTTTGCCGTGATTGGATCCGAGAAGGACGTCAAGACCAACGACGGCCGTGTCGTCAAGGGTCGCCAGTATATTTGGGGTGTTGCCGAAGTCGAAAACGAGGACCACTGCGACTTCAAGAAGCTCCGGTCCATCCTTATTCGTACCCACATGCTGGATCTCATCCACACCACTGAGGAGCAACACTACGAAGCCTACCGTGCCCAACAGATGGAGACCCGCAAGTTCGGCGAAGCCCGACCACGCAAGCTCGACAACCCTAAGTTCAAGGAGGAGGAGGAATCTCTCCGCAAGCGCTTCACAGAACAGGTCAAGGTCGAGGAGCAGCGATTCCGCCAATGGGAACAGAAGCTCATCTCCGAGAGAGACCGACTCAACAAAGATCTGGAGGCCACCCATGCCGCGTATGTTCCACTGCCCCCGTCTTCCCCCCCTTTTGTGAACAAGGTAGAAATCAAATGCTAACCAAGCCCCTACAGTATCAAATCTCTCGAAGGAGAGATCGAACAGCTGCAAGGCTCAACGACCCGGAGCCATGGTCGTCGCTAAACGGCTTGCAACCCGTGGCATTCATGTTGGACGGCGTGCTGAAAAAGAGAGTAGACCCCAATGGATGCCTCCGACCTCTTGTTTATCTTTGACTACCCCCATTTTTTCTCGGCTTTTTGTGTGCGCTTTCGAAGGACACATCTCATAGCTAATGGGCATTCGTGCCCGGATCCTTCGCGCTGGTCTCTTTTTTTTCATCTTCTTGTTCCCCGCTGGTTGCTAGCGATGATTTGCTTACATCCTTGATAATAACCCACTCCGTAGCGTATCGATACACGTTTAATCTGGTGACTGTTTTCCTCTGAACATCCAAGTCGTAGAGAAAAGTACTAACTAGAGTTTAAATCAACCGTTCTTCACTTGTCAACTACCGATTATTAAGTAGTTACTGGGTAGTTACTTGATTAAGTGCCGACTAGAGATACTCCACTGGTGGAGCTTGTGTTTTCTAACCTTCGGGCGGAGGAAGCATGGACCGAGAGCTTCTTCGTAGCTTGTAACGAACGACAAAACTCCCACCACGCTCCAGAGCCCGCTCAACATCTTTATTTCAAGTTCCATCCATTCTTCCCGAGAGAAAATCTGCATCCAATGTCCAGAAAAGCAGGGTTTCCCACCAGACTGGTTCATACCCTCAAAACCCATCATGGTACTCTTTGACTCAAGCCTTATCTCTCTCTTCGTCTTGACACAGCTGACCATTGTTTAGGCCCCGTAAACACAGTCGCCTTCTCCAGTCACCCAGGCACATACTTGCTGACAGGCTCTTCAGACCGGTCCATCCACCTGTCGCGAGCGGTCCCTACGACCAATGTGTCGGAAACCACGCAACCGATCCAGAGATACGAGGCACATGGATACTCGGTGCTAGATGTGGCCGTGGCGGCGGATAATGCGCGTTTCGCTAGTGTGGGAGGTGATCGATTAGTCTTTCTCTGGGACGTTGAGCAGGGTGGCACGATACGGCGATGGGGAGGACACAATGCGAGAGTCGAAGCTGTCCAGTTTGCCGGAGAGGGAGACTCAATAGTCGTGTCTGGTAAGTCTTCTAAAAATTCCAAGATTCGAAATGAAACGACAAAGTTCCAATGTTGATACTGTGTAGGTAGTGCAGACACTACGATCAACCTCTGGGACACCCGCTCCAACGCGCACAAGCCCATCCAAACCCTCAATGAAGCGAGGGACACCGTCTCCTCCCTACACGTCCACATGTCGACGTACTCGGTCGCCAGTGGCAGCTACGACGGGCGAGCGCGCATCTACGACATTCGCATGGGCCGCACCACCGTCGATGTCCTAGCGCACCCCGTAACCAGTGTGCGTTGCTCGGCCGACGGCAACGCGCTCCTCGCCTCCACGCTGGACGGACGGATCCGCATGCTCGACCGAGTGGATGGGAAGCTTCTCAAGGCCTTTGGAGGCGATGGGAGTCCGTATCAAAATAGCGAGCTGAGGATTCGGTCTGTGTTTGCCGAGGGTGACTCGGTGGTCCTCAGCGGTAGCGAATCCCTGTCGTCCAATGCTCACGCCAGTGTCTTTGCGTGGGACGTCTTAAGCGGCGAGATCATCGCTTCAGTAGATGCCGGTCTCGGAGTTAAGGTCGTCAGTTGCATCGCTTGGAACCAGAGTGGGAAATGCTGGGCGGGAGGGTGTTCTGATGGTACAATTGCCCCCCCCCTCCCCCCACACTAGATATACACGGCCAATATACTAACATCATCACAGGGACCGTCAAGCTATACAATTGAGGGGCCATTCCCGGCTGCTCCGTCATCATTCGTGTACCAGGTCCCTGGAAGCATCCAAACTCATCTCGGCAACAGCGCGGACCAGGATTTCTTTTGGGGAGACCAACGGCAGATCCCCGCCCGACAACGTGCTCGCATTATCGCAGAAAGGGCCTCAGACGATTCCTTCAGGATTCGACTTCTACCGAAAAAATCAGGATATTTCCATGAATCGCCTCGGATGCAAAATAATGTATATAAATTCTTGTCTTCACTGGGATTGACCGCCAGTTGTCCAGACTGCTGCGCGCTTCCGCAACAAGAACCTTGCTCATCTTGACTTGCAAAAGGGAAGCAGACTATCAAATAGCCCAAGATGCAGTTTTCTCGTCTTGTCTCGGCCGCTGCTTTTTTGGCATTGAGTGCGGCCACGAACATAACCATTGCGCAGCCAGGCGTGCCGTTCGTGGTGAACGACACACTACCTCCGTCGTTCGCCTTCACAGATGGGGCTTCGATCGTTGACTTGTTCCTGAATGTGGACTCGTCGACGACTTGGAACCTGATCTCCAAAACCCATCTCCAGGGTGACACGGGCGAGCCTGAGGGCATGGTCCGCGTGGGCGATGACCGGATCTTCGTTTCCTCGGGACAATATACGGTCGCGACGGAGAAGTACAACCGCACCATCAACGGCACCGACAGAACGGCTGGCGCTGGGTATGCCCACATGCTGGTCTACGATGGCCAGGGGGGTCTGATCGCCAACGCGACGCTCACCAGGCCAGGCGACATCGAGTATCATGCCGGCGGAATTGACTACGACGGCCGCTACATCTGGATCCCCCTGGCACAGTACCGGCCCAACTCCACGGCGACGATTGTTCGCCTCGACCCGCTCACCCTGGAGGTGCAGCGCCTGTTCGCAGTCGACGACCACAACGGTGGCGTCGTCCACGACACCATCGCCGACACCCTGGTGACCCTCAACTGGAACGCCCGCAACGCCACCACATGGTCGTTCAAGGACTACCCGAGCAGCTTTGCGCCCCTGCCGCTCTTCACGCCGCCGGAGATCGACCTGCAGAACCCGTCCTTCTTCGTCGATTACCAGGACTGCAAGTTCATCGGCCACCATGTCCTCCCCTCCCAGCTCGCCCTGGCCCGTAATAATCCCTACGGCGGCCAGCTCCGTCCGCTCATGTTCTGCAGCGGTGTTGCTACCATCACCTCCGGCGACTCCTCGTACCCGCTCGGCGGCCTCGCCCTCGTCGATCTCGAGACCGCCACCCCGCTGTGGGAAGTCCCGATCGGCATACTCAGTGACCTGGGTGTCTCCATTGCGGAAAACCCCGTTGATGTCTCGGTCGTGGATGGCAAGTTAAGAGTGTACTTCATTCCTGACCAGCATAACTCGACGCTCTACGTTTATGAGGCTAATTAAAGATACTTTTCACGCCGTCTCATGCCATGGTTATCTACCACTTAACAAACCAAAATGCATTGTTCTTTTTTTTTCTTTTCGGAAAAACATAAGGAGCAGTCTCAGAATTGTACATAATCAGTGTCCTGTTGTCCATCTGATGTCTTGCCATCCTGAAACTTGAGAATCATAACGAAAATAGATGCAATAACAGAGCTTTTAAATGCCTCAGTCCGTAAATCATGGGTCAAAACAAATCCTCCTTTAACAAAAAGAAAAAGCAAAGAAACAACAAGAATATAGCCCAGACAATAAAACAACTTTTAGGTGTACTTGCAGTGGCCACTCGTAATCATCGTGGCGTATATAGAGATGAAAGATAGGAGGATGATATATGGATGGAAATATCCTTGTTGTGAGGAAGGTATTCAAAAAGGCGGCTTTCTTTTTGTTTTTTGGTGAGTCGCTGTTCAGGAAGCTAAGCCGCTTCATCGACCACCTCCAGCCCATGGCTCTCAGGCTCGTGGCTTTCTGCATCCAAGGCGTCCACGGCCCGATGTAGCTCGCGCTCGCCAACGATGACCGTTCCGCCTCGAGCGGTGCTGAGGAAGCTGACCTCCACGGCGTCCAGGAAGGGGTCGATCTCCGGTTGTAGATGGTGCGAGGGAGCGAGAGAGTGGCCGTTGGTCAGTTTGCGCTCGCCTGTGGGATTAGATCCCGCAGTTGCGCTGTGTGAGAGCAGGTGCGGTTTGCCGTTGCCGTTGGGCAGTGTGGGCAGGTCAGGCTCGTCGATGTTTCGGGAGTGCGTGGCGGCTGCTAGACGGCTGGCTACTCCGCAGATAATGCCGGTTGCTTCAACTGGTAAGTCCCGCAAATCCAGCATAATCGGCACGAGTATGTCCTCTTTAGAGCCGAGCAGGAGACTAGTATCGTCATCCGAGCCAGAACCGGGCCCGAGGTCATCCACGAAGCGCGGGAGAAGCCGTTGCTCTAGCAAAAGGGAGGCTGCCGGATCTGCAGCTGTCAGTGTGAGGGAAAGGAAGCGCGGTTGATCCACAAGCAATGTTGTGGTGAGGGCCCGGCGAAGAATGGAGAGTGAGCTGGAATCGTGGGAGTATCGATGATGAGCCGCACATTGAACTAAGCGGAGCGATGGATCAACTGATGGAACAATCTGGTGTTTGCGTAGAGAGGCAAAGGTCCGAGCCTGCAGCTCCGCCAACGACGATGGTGGAGGAGTCCTGGGAGGAGAGGTTGGGCTGGTCAGAGACCGCGGTGAATGTGGAGTAATATTGTTGAATTGTAGCTGGGCGTTGTTGATGAAAGCATCCGTCGAGGTTTCGAATTGGAAGCCGTGGTTTTCGAGGGTAGTAATAACTTGCGTTTTGGCACGCAGTGGAACCACAATGTAGTCGGAAAAGTATGTCGAAATAAAGAAGATGGATCTAGGAAATCAGTCAGCTGCGTGATTCTCGCGTCTTATTACTGATTATCATACATTCCCGCCATGGCCAGCGGACTGGTCAGCTCGAGCACGCGCTGACTTGCGTCAAGGCCTTCACCATACACCTGCATAGCGATGAAGTCTTCTCGGCTGATCGAGACTTGGGTCTTGGACGACGGGTTGGTCTGACAAAACTTGTCGACCAACGGCTGGAAGTACAAGTCTGCCAGCTTTCTGGAACACATAACGGAGCATTCCACCGGTGTGACGGAGAGATTCAGAAAAGCTGGCGGAACGTCTCCAAGAAAGTCTCCCTCCTCCTCCTCCTTGTCGTCGGCATTATGGCGATCAATGGGAGGCACCTCGTGGAAGAGCAGCTGCAACAACGGACTGACAAAAAATGGATATATATCCAGCGGAATATGCACGAGAGCCAGTCGTTCCTCCTAGACAGACAGTCAGTCAGCACCGTCATGCATTAATTTTCGCTGGACCACACAGCCACGTCGGGCTTCTGAGAGGGCCTGCTTACCATGAACTGGACCTGGGCAGATATCAGGGTCAATGATTGGTCCATACTGGCCTCGTACGAGGTGTCCAACACCTCTTGATGAATATAGATATAATGCGATTCGGTTTTTCAACTACCTACTCCAACAGCACATCCCAGGGGCAAGGCAGACAGACAACAAGGCGAGTTAAGGCAGCAGCACTCTAGGATGGAAACCGGCGGTATGGTATATAATCTTTGTTTTTCAGGGCGCGAATATTCTGTAGTCTGACAGACATTGTTTCACAACCTATTCCTTACACCATTTTCTGAGAGAATGAGATGATGGTGCAGTGTTGGCTTCAGCACAAGAAACCCATGGCGTCAGCTGAGTTTCGGAGCACGTGTGGCGATTGTCGGAATAGAGAAGCTAGTTGAGGAGAGATCAGGCAACACTTGGTATTCTCTAGGCCTCCTTCTCTCTCTGATGATAAATAGTAGGGATAGGTCAATGGGAATGTTGTCGTCAAGGAGTGTCAAAGCGTGGTGGAACAAAGGAAGAAGAGTAGGCTAGGAGGAAGAAGAAGGAGAAAGGCGGCTTTCCTGTTCTGGACAAAACAGCAGGTTTTCTTTGTTCTTCTTTGTCTTTCTCCCTTCCCAGCAACCTCAGCAGACCGTCCGATTTGACCACGTCGACCAGCGAGTCTTTCTGCGCGGGAATTTTTCACTCCCCAGGTGAGTCAGTCGTTCGCTGTTGCTGGCACGAGCGGTTCCTCAGTCTTTATCTTGGGCGTTCTCCACCAGGTGCTTATCTATCGCCTTTCTCAAAGGCCAAGGAAGCCAGCGAGTAGATTCTAGACAACCCATGGTTACGATCAAGTCTGAGCCGCGCCACCGCGCTAGGCGCCCCTACCGACAGGACCAGGGACGTGTTCGTCCCCAGAAAGATGCGTCCTATCAGCACGGTGAAAGGAGGGGAGGGGGAAGCATTACCGAAATACACACTGCGTCGGCTCCCCGCACTCTGGAGCCAGGCACACGCCCCAATGCAGTATCCAGAGTTTCAAATCATTGGCCAGGTAAGTTGGTATGATATGGCTTGATTTTCTCGGTCTGTACTGATGGCCAGAATCTCGCTGCGCAGGTGGCCATGTCCGAAGTGAACCCCGTGGCAAAATCTCTGTCTCCCCGGTTGCGAGACGTGAACGGTGGCCGGCCTGCGCATCCGGCTCTCGTTTGTGTCAGACTGTCAGATGATGAGAACCAAGGGTTCAATCATAATCTCTCGATCCTCGTTGCCAATCCATCCAGAGGCGCTTTGGGCACCTGCAGCAGAGTCCCTGTGTATAACAGTCGGTATTATGGATGGATACCAGCTAGCTAAATGTGGACATGCATTACTTTACTCCGTAAGTACTACAAACTGGCTTCTTTCTTTTTTTTTTTCCCCCTCCCCCTCGTAGTTTATTCCCTGTCCGAGCGCACACCTCCACTGGACTCGGGAGATCGACCGAGTCACCCCTGTTCTTGGCCACTGTACTGCGTCTTATCACAGACTCCTGAATTGTTGCTGATGATGCGCAGAGAATGATGGTACAGAGAAAATAATGTCTCCTGCCGGCGCAGACTCATCTTCTGGCCGGCTATGCCGGTGAGTGTCCCACTTTGAGCCATAATTTTTCCTAGTCTTGACTACGCGGCAGTGCCATCAAGCTCCAAGGGCCAAATGATCGACCCACTTGAGATAAGAGCATGGTAGCTAAATGTATGGTAGTGAGGTGAAAGGAAAACATAACCGGAACAGATAGGAGAAGCGACTGTGCAAGGCTAAAAATTCGTACTCGGGACTCGCTCAACACATGCCGTAGTTTTTACTAGGTAGGCTTCGTCCATCTCTTTGCGATCAATTGAATAGATGCTTGGTTCGCATCATGGATTTGCCTATCTACTACCTAGAGGGTGTATCCTTCCTTCAATCGCAGCCAAGGGTTCTATCTAGGTTAATCTATTCTCATGTACCATCTTTTTACGTGGTCCCTATTCACCCAATAGTGACCACCACCCATAGGACTCTCTGTATGAGGTAACTACTGAACTACTAGCTACCTAGCTAGTATCAATGTACTTACTACCTATGCGACACCACCCTCATACTGCAACAATTACAACACTCCATCACAAGACTGCAAAGGCAGCATCAAATAAAAAACAGAATAGGAGTGGAGGTACGACGTCTTACCCACGTACTCGTACGTCATTGCTCCCCAAGGTTCACCTGTAGTACTCTGTACAAACATCCCATCAACCAGTACGATGGCAAGCTCACATTCCAGTTTCAGAGCCCCCCAAGGGTCTCTTCCTTTTTTTTGCTATATTTGCTTATTCGGAGCTTGCCCCGCATTCCTCCGTTTCAAAGGCACGGGAAAACGGAGGACAAAAGTGTTCCGTACAACTGTGGGAAAAAAAAAAGAAAAGAAAAGATGTAGTACAATCAATTGTTTTACCCCATCACGGCTTGTTTTAGGCTCATGTAACCAAATTCTGCAGCAAATAATATCTACTCCTCGATGGTCTAACGGTCATGATTTCCGCTTGTCATCTCTTCTTGAGAACAAGCGCGGGAGACCTGGGTTCGACTCCCAGTCGGGGAGCTTATCTTTTTCTTTTTTCTCTATTTTTATTTTTATATAGAGCCATTCTTGTAGCTAGCATTGGTCTTTCTTTTTAAATCTGAGTTGTAGTTACTTTATGCCACATTAGGTAGGTGATCACTGCATGATAGATTACAATAGAGTGTATTCAACTATAGAGGTAGCCATCTACTCCTCCTCCACTCTTGCCCGCTTCGACCCTCGTTCCTCACGCTCTACTTCCTGAATCCCATACCGTTTCTGGCCGGATCCGCCAGTCACGTCGGCGATCATACTGTCAATACCAAAGGGGTCGGCGGTGTCTTTTTCGAATTGAACTGGGCCGTCACGTTCCTGGAAACCTTAGTTAGCTTTCTTCATATAGACAAAGGGGAT